CACACACACACACACACACACACACACACACACACACACACACGAATATATCAATGCATGTGCACGTTCAACATGCACACTTTTCCAGCCCTTCACAGGGAGCCAATTTATAGATACTGTACCGAAGCTACCCTCAGCAACCCTCATCTCTTGCTTTGCCATGCCCCCGTCCGCCACACACACACACACACACACACACACACACACACACACACACACACACACACACACACACACACACACACTCACTCGCACACACACAGTGGCACGCTCGGCACCCTGCTACACATAGCGAAGGGGACGACATATCGCTCATAGCACCCAGGAAATTAACTTGACATTTGATGCAGACAGAAAATATATTTCAGTAAGGGGAGGAGAGGGGGGGAAAAAAAAACAAAGTGTACCAAAGCAGAGACAGCATAAACCCATCCCTTGTCCACCCACATATTCCCCCCCACCCTTTAAGCTCAGGGATGCATTCTGGGCGGGGGGTGGTGAGGGTTGGGGGGGATTACCGCGATCTGCAATGCAGACGCCACTGGGTGCCCACGGAAAATGAGCTTCATCTTTTGCCTGTCCCTCTCGGTGTATGCTGTCTGTGCCCCTTTGTTTCCATCTTTTATGATTCCTGCATGCGCTCCATTTTCATATCCACTTCCCCTCCCCTCCGTCTTGGTGCCTTTCTATTAAGAGGCGAGTTGGAAAAGCAAATGGGAGATGGACAGTTTGTGTGTGTGGGGGTGGGGAGGGGGGGAGTGCGCATATAGCTTTGACACAAAAAGCAAAAACAACTTCTCAATGCATTGTCTGTAGGAATTCGAACATTGAATTGAAATGTCAGTGTAATGAATTCCAATGTTGAGATGTAGAATGTGAGAATTGGAATGGTTTGAATTAGTCAAGAAATGTGGAAAATGTGAAATCTCGCTCCATTAAAAAAAAAAAAAATTAATTCATTAAAAAGTGCCCAAGGTGGTTTGAATGGGACTGATGAGGAATTTTGTAAGTGCATGTCTCTTTAGTTTGAATATTTGGGAGGGGGGAGGTGAAAAATATGAAATTCTGGGAGAACTGGGAATATTTTGAATGTGGAAGTTAATGCCAAGCATGGCTGAATTGGTGAGATATGCCACATTTTGAATGCCTTGATTGGGTTGAGAAATGTGGAAGTTGAATGTCACAAAAATGTGTTGAATCATAATAATACTTCAAATAAAAAAAAGAATTAGTGTGGAGTAACGTATGTGTAAATGCAAACAGCCTTCACACAATTAGTGCCGCTAAAGATGCCTTGAATATTTGAGCTTTGCATAACTGCCGCTTTTCCTCTCCCGCATCTCAAGCCGCACGTACAATTTAATGCTAGCCGATTTGAAACTACAACACGGCATGGTCATGCATAATCTGCAAAGATTAACGATCGCATCCTGGGCCTTTCAGTAGCCTCGGCGAGGAGCCCAAACACTGACGAATGGCGCGGGCTGCAATTAATGCATCATTATGGAGCGCTACAGTTTACACCTCCTGTACGCGGAACAACACACAGCAGGAGCTCCGAGCAGCCGGCTTCTGTCGGCGGTATCCACCCCATTAGACATGCGAGAAGGTTATCATCATTATGCACAATTGCCAATGTCTTGTCTGCGAGCGTCTCTCTCTCTGCCTATGATGTGTTCAAAATAGATATCCAAACATCCGCTGCTGTTTGTGTGGCCATGAAGCCGTTGCAGTTCAAGGAAAAGTGTCTTCCTTTCATTGCAAATGGTGTTGTTATCAGGATTAGATCCAATTGAGGTAAATATCCAAATTCTAGACGTTCGTTACACTACACAGACGGATGTGCCATTTATAACAACTTTAGACAGAGCAATAATGTTGTGTGACTCATAAACACGCAGGTGTATTATTTATAATAAATGTGAAGAGACATTTAGAGACCCAAATAGACTCTGAACACATTGATGAAAATAGCTTTGCCGGCTGCATTTTTTATCTTTTATTTTAATTATTTTTTTGCAAATATTCATACACACCAGTCAGGTAAAAAAATGTATAGAGGCAGGTTTTTATTTGGATGCTGGGTTGAAAAATCATGTTGTTTTTTTTTTTTGTGCTCCGCATTTGACGAAGGTGCAGGCACAATGCGGGCAGCTTTATTATTCTAGCATTTTCTGCATCTGGGAGGAGACAGCTAAATCGCACGGTGATCTGTATGTTGATTAAATATTGGGAACAATTACAGTACTTGATGTAAAGCTGAAATATAGATGACATTTTTTAGACATAGAGCAGGTTTGTCCTACACCTTGTGTACAAAGTCACTGGCATCCTTCTCTGCATGTGCAAACTCCTCCTCCACCCTCCCCCCCCCCCCTTTGCCATTCCTTGCTGCGAGTGATTTGCATTCATTTGCATGATTTCACAATGTGCACATCCTTTGTTCTGCTCGCGTGGTGATGCACAAGAAACCCCCCTGCGCTGTTATACAGTCTGCTGAAATCGGCGTCAGATTTTAAGATAGTGTTTGTTAACCTCTGTTTTGTCTGTCTCGGATTCAACATTTTCCACTAAAAGATACACTTGTAGGCTCCAATTAAAGATTTAAAAAAAGAAAATCACAATATAGTGCATGAGGGCGATGCAGATGTGGACGCTTTTGCGCAGGTTTCTCTGCATGTAATTGACATTGTGTTATCGCTAAGAGGCATGAGCATTGGCAGCATGTTGCAAGGCTAAAGAGCTTCACCCAAGCGTGAAATGTGGACTTACCTGGCATATGAACGGGAGAACTGTAGATGGAAATGACATCATTCACAACCAAAATTTTGCAACGGCGCAGCTTCATCAATAACGGTTCATACGATTTTCCCCTTTCTATGTTTGTCCCTCGCATTTATTTCCTTTTGGAATCATTGTGTTGTGATCATTCTGGATTTCATTTTTTTTTTTTTTTTTTATGACCATCTATTCTGTTCTTGGGTTTGGACCATTAAGGCCCGCTACCTGCTGACATCTTTTGTTCTCTGTTGTTGTTTATACCACATGCACTTGCAAATATGAAAGAAATATATAGAAGCTGCCCTTTGATGGTTCCACGCTGGCCGGAGATGGTGATGGTCAGCTATTATTTTCAGAGAAAGAAGTGGAAAATGTACCGTATGCGTGTGACATGTAGTGTGTGTGTGTGTGTGTGTGTGTGTGTGTGCGTGTGTGTGTGTGTGTGTGTGTGTGTTTTCTCTTTCTTTTTTTTTGTTTGTTTTTTTGATTGAGGTCTATTTGGTGCGGCCATTTTGAATGGCTACTTCGACAATGCTGATTTATGCATGAAGAAGTAATTTCAACAGTCAAACTTGACTATGCAAGTTAAATACTGTACTCACAGTTAATAGCTTGTTTAATCGGTTTGTCCTCGGACCATGGGGGGGGGGGGATAGGCAAGACGTCACATGATCAAATTGAATGCCATTTGCGCTGACATAGCAACTCTCTCCTGAAGCGTCCTCAACATTTGACTAGCAGCTTGATCAAATCTTTTCAGCAGGACCCTTTTTGTGCAAAAAGGGTCCTGCTGTCAGCCTTTGCTTCTTAATATTGATGTTAAAGATTGCCAAGAATACGCAGTGGAGTTCTATGGAAATTTTGATACAGCTCTTGTGTTTTATTTTATTCAACTGTGCAAGTGTCCCTAATATTATGACCACAAATGAGCCATTTCATTTATACTTGCTTGTGCTGCTCGCAAACTGTGCCTAATTTTGACGTGAACACAATCTCGAGCTCCCCTTGGCTCAGTGACAAAGTTTCAAATTTGACAAAAACCTCACTAAATGACCTCCCGCTACGGGCGAATAAACATTTCTCGTCTGACCCGATGGACTTATTGAAGTGATTTGTCTCTCTTCAGTGACATCAAATTTCACATCTAAAAATTGACGGACGGGCCTAATTGAAAACCGAGTATGTCCTCCACGGGACATAAATGAGACCAATTAGTGTTACCGCATGGATTTCCACAGCCCGAGGAAATGCTTTAAAATCACTTCTGCACATTTAGAGGTGTGTGTGTGTGTGTGTGTGTGTGTGTGTGTGTGTGTGTGTGTGTGTGTGTGTGTGTGTGTGTGTGTGTGTGTGCGTGTGTGTGCGTGTGTGTGCGTATGTGTATGTTGTTAATGTGATGATGACCGATGGATCCCCGCTTCCTGGCCTTGCCAACCTTAGCATAAACTATGGAGCCCGGAAGTGGTGACTGGACATGACTGTGCCCACAATCACAACCGGGCAACTGTTCTAATGTCTTTTGGCACGTACTGTGGACCACCGCTAACATTTCCGACGGTATTCGCGTGCTAGCACACATCAAGCACATCAGCAGAGATGAGCACACAGGAGAAGAATCACAAAGCCCATTATTCATTTTGAAATAATATCAAAGGGGTAAAACAACTCTGATCAGTGACGGTGATATACCAGTCATAAAAAAATATCGACGTTATATTATTATTATTAGTAGTAGTAGTAGTAGTAGTAGTGTTAGTTGTAGTAGTAGTATTTGAATTGGGATGAAAATATTAATACATTTTAAGTGATTTTTGTAGTTCTTGAGAAAAAAGTTCAGATTAGGTTTTGGAATAAGAAAGGCACTAAGGGCAGATATGGAATGTCGAGACATACTCTAAATACTGGTGCTCAGTGTCTGTGTGTATATGGGGGGGGGTGTATGTGTGTGTGTGTGTGTGTGTCTGTCAAGTGTGACGATGAATACGAAAATGCTGATTCATCCATTTATCAGCCCCTCCATTTTCGAAACTGCTTACCCTCATCAGGCATATACTGTACATACATGTATATTTTCACTTGGCTACATTTCCTCTCATTTTTCCCTTGAATTATATGGCTTGGTTTAAGGTTCCCTCGGTACGACTACTCCTATGTTATTTAATCAATATGATCCAACTGACAAACAAAATCCTACTTATTTTTCTTTTTTTGGACCTTACCTCGGACAGGTGCAGTGAAAAGAAAATTCCAAATGTCAGGTGGATGTCCTCCTCCTGCCGTATACGCGGCGTCTTTCGCAGCTCCAGTTCTTCATCACTGCAGCAATGAAAGAAGAGGATGTTTAACAAGAGAAAATGATTAAAATAAGGGTAACATCCAGTTTAGATAAAGTCGTGGAAGGTGGTGTGAAGTCGGGATTTTCAGGTTTCAAAATATGAAAATTGAAGTCATGTATGCTAATCATAGAGTGGGCCCGTGACTCCTCCCTCCCTGACAGTTGTAAAGTGATACGATGCATTTATTAAGAATTAAAGACACAGCATGAAGCTGAAGAAGCAACACTAAAAGCGAACCAACTGCAGATTATTAAATAAGCATTGTGCTAGCATTTTTGCACAAGTAATGCCCACAAAAGTATGAGCGCACATGCTAATGCTAACACAACAAGGCGCATCCTGGCTTGTCCACCATATTTTGGAGACTAGTGGATGCGGTCGCCATGGCAATAACAATTAAACCATTTGCTCTGTTTGCATCACAGGTATTTTGATGTTGTTTAGCTAAAAAAATGTTATGCTGTTTACCCTTGCCTTGAAAGTCGATATGGCCAGTAGACAGTAGAAAAAAAAATACCCCTTAAATATTTTTGGTTGGTCTGTTTTTTTTTCCTCTTTGTTTTAATAAAGCTTATTGTTTTTGAGCGGCTGCATATTTTTATAGTGGTGTTGATATAAAAGAAATACATGCAGAAATATTGCAATGAAGAATTTGTCCTTTTGCGTTAATTTCAGGCTCCTGTGATATAATGCGCGCGCGCGCGCACACACACACACACACACACACACACACACACACACACACACACACACACACACACACACACACACACCAATATCACCACATGGAATTCTTTGGTTGAATTATACTTTATTCGTGTTTTAGATCATCAAAGACAAAATAGGTTGAGAGAAACAAAACAAGTAAATTACAAACAGTGATGAGCAAAGGACTCAAGGGACACACACGTCTGACAGATATCTTTATCTGAAACGTATTCTCATTCCCCAGCGTAATGTTCTACTTGTGGGCCAACCTCTCAGTGTGTGTGCGTGTGTGTGCGTGTGTGTGTCTGTTCGTGAAGCCCTAAGGCAGGGTTTTGGAAAAGCATTCTGCACTCCCACCCAAGCTTCCCTCCTGCATTTTCTGTCCATTCATTCTCTTTGCGGCTTGTGTGGCATGTTTCATCCCATCTCACACCTTCGCCCTATTGCGAGCACCTCATTCACTGTTTGTCGCCTGTATTATTTATGGTTGTGGTGGCCGCACTGGTCATCACGGTGCCAAGTCAACCTCGGATTTCCAAGATAACATCAGAGTGATGATGCACAGCACGGTAAACGAGCAGATTTGCTACCGAACTGACGTCTTGTAAACACATAGAAGAGGAAAGTAAACTAAGGCTAAACACCTATTATTAGTTGATGGAAGGTAGCCTTCGGTGCTTCATTATTCTTATACGTCCAGGTCTGATTTGACACACCGCTCCCCCCTCCAGTGCCGCCTGTCTCATTTCCTTCCTAGTAACAATCCATTAGCGAGCGCTAGGCTCAAACAAGCAGCCGTTTAATTATTGTCCCTTTGTGGGCAGCACGTTTGTACCACTCATCATGATGGCAGGGGTTGGGGGGTGGGGGTGGGGGTGGCAGGGCACAATGATAATGTGCATGCAAAACGCGATAACGTGCACACGTGATCATTCATTGACTTCCACTTAATCGTCCATGCAAAGGTCCAAAGAAATGTAACACAATGACATCAACGGAAACCTGTACCACTCAATATATAGAATCAAATAGTATGCATCAGTATGTGATGTGTTTACGTGTGTGTGTGTGTGTGTGTGTGTGTGTGTGTGTGTCTGCAAAATAGGCCCTTGTATGGTGCAACTCAAGTAGAATAGTTTCCCGCATATTCGTCTTTATACGTTGCCTAAGGAGCACATCAAGAGGAAAGAAAAGGTCGGGCTCCGTGCGTGTGCTTGTGTGTTGCACAGTACGAGGTTGAGTGTGGAGTCGGGGGCTGATTTACATGTTTTTATCATACTGCCACTTGATTCTTTCCTTTGCTTGATGGTGTCATCCTTTTTTAATATGGAGAATTCCTCTTTTGTGAAAATACACATGAGCAAAAACACATAATCTGTGGAATTCATAATACAATGATACTTGAAAGCTGAATTGTTTCCGCAAATAAAAACCTATTTTGCAATTTTCGTGGTTTTACCTGATAAATATTAACATGCAAAATATTTGGTTAATGACAGAAATGAATAGTCTCCTGAAAATGCCTCGGAAGCAGCACTTGGCTTAGCGAGCCGTGGCAAAAATAAAAAATAAAAAAATTAATAATAATAAATGGCGTGTATGGAAAACACTGCGCGGTGACAGTAATCGGGGACATTAATCCATGCAAATGAAATGCTCAGCATGCAGCGCGACCGACCACTGTAATTGAATATGCGACTTTTCAGACCGCCGCCTTGCCGTCAATAGGAAACGTGTCCAATCTAATGTGTATGCAAGCGCGTGTGGTGTCTATGCCAGTGGACATTTTAGGTCTACCCTCCTTGCGCGTGCTACTGCCAAACGCCTTAAGATGGTGGCACCTTGAGGCGGCGCGTAGAGAAAGCCAGGCTCCTCCTCACCGTTCCCATTGCTTCCCTTCTCCAGCTCGACTCTGCACGACAACACAGGACAGGCCCCCTTCCATTCCAACCCCTAGCCCCGCATTATAAATATTTAATTCCCAACTCTCTAATAAGGATATTAAGGCGAGTACATCCCGCCCGGGCGTATATGCATGACTCCTTTCTCATCAAATTTACATAAAAGGGCCAGATGCTAATGCGAGCGTAGCAACTGCTGCTCACTATTCTATAAGCACTGCTACCGGCCCTCCAGTCCAAGCACCCGTATAATTTAAATGGTGAACACCGTCATATATTTTTCAAATGCTTTGCTGCATGCCAAATGTAACCAGGCCTCTATATCCCGCGCTTCATGGAAAGCAGCTTTGCACTCGTGCCAGCATAGCATTTATTATGCTTCTGTCGGAGCCCTTTGTGAACCAATTTTCAATGCAAATAAGGCTTCACATTTTTCACCACCATTTTTTTTTCACGATACACAGAGAGGAGCTCATTTCACATTTCCAAAGGTTAACCTAATACTCACAAATTTACAAATTCTGCGATACAAACAGGGGGGTGACCAAGTGTGGGCATACATCGAGCATGGTGAAAACATTCCGCATGTAGTGCAGGGTTTTGGGGAGTGTATGGGCGCCACTGTTTTGTAATTAGTCCAGGATGAATAATGCATTGGCACAAAATATATTATTTACACCTCTTCATCTGCGAGGACGTTTGGAAGCACATTTCATGGCGCAATTATACTAATTTATTTATACACCGTAGTATTTGCATGATCAAAAGTCAGTGGAGCAGAGACGTCCAAGAAGCCATGCATGGCAGTCAGTCATCTTTAGAGCTTAAGCGTAAAGATCGCATTTTTATGCACACGGTATGATGGTGCACCACTGCTGTGCTATTACTTTTGCACAGATTTCATGATTATTATTATTATTATTATTATTATTATTATTATTATTATTATTTTATGTAGTGCGCCTGATGCTGCGGCCAGTGAAGATAGTGAAGCCAAATGGGATTTTTTTTTTCAAAAATAGATTTTAGTGAAATGCTACCAATGATATTATTTGTTACGTTTTCATTCAAAGAAGCATTTTTTTTTCTTCATGCAATGAAAAATGATGGAGAGGGCAGATTATTAGGTAAAAAAAAAAAAGCTATTTTTTTATTCCATGACTGCAGCCAATCAGGATGAGAGCGTCTACTGTGTGTGAGAAGCACAATATTCCGATTCTAACAAATTACCTGAGGCTTAAATTCTAGACTCCGTTCAGTCGTGAATACTAAATCAGGCAGCTTAATGTGAATTATTTTACACATCCTAAGTATAGACCAGAGGATTTTGTCGAAAGCGAGTTGACTCGGATCACGGTGCAAATCTTCCACGACCACCACACAAAAACACAACCTAATGCCATCCAAATTAAGTGTGAAATACATCTTTTGACAGTAGAGAGGGGCGCGAGAACTAACTATCCGACATGCACAACCTTGCAATCATCAGAAGGGGAGGATCGTCCAGCATGGCAGAGCACAGCATGCCCGCTGCTTGCGACAAGACGCTCAAGTGGCCATGCATGATGTCATTAAAAAGGGCCTGAACACTGCAACATTCCTCAATGGATTATTGGAAATGACGACGGCCGCAGATGATATTGCCAGAAGTTAATAAGAGCCCTTTTGATCGGTAGTTAAGCCATGAGAGAGACCCTTTTGTGCACGTTGCCTTGCTTCCTGTATCGGACGTGAAGCTCTGAATGTCAAGAACTTAACTTCTTCTGAAAGTCGAACATAATAGAGGTAAATATAACTAATGTGTCTCCCCATTCAGACAATGGAGAGGAGGTGGCATTTTGGTTTGATGCCGACAGCATTCAGCACACCCGCCCACACACACACATCCATGCACGCAAGCAAATTCATGCACACAATCACACGCGCGCACACACACACACACACACACACACACACACACACACACACACACACACACACACACACACACACACACACACACACACACACACATAAACCAGGAACCTGGCCCGCAATGGCAGGGGCTGATGCTGCCATGCGCACGGTGATCTCACCTACCGTTGCCGTGGCGACACCAACCAGAGGGAAAAGCCTTATTGTGTGTACGCATGCGTACGTGCGACTGTGATTGTGACAGACGCCTGAGCTGGAGGAAGAGGAGGAGGATGAGGAGGGCCTGCAGGAATTCACATTGTGCCTGACTTGTTTAAGGTTTATGCCTTATTCACTTACTAGCCTTTTTTTTCCAGGGGAATCTAGCAGGCCTTTCAATTATTAAGTCAGTAAATTCAAGATGGCGCTCCCAATAAAAGAACAGGCCGGCGCTTTTTAATAGTGCTTTGAGCCACTG